GTTGTACTTCGTATTGGTTTAATATTCATGTAGAGTATGAGACATGAAGTGAAAGTTTTCTGAGGTACATCTGCAATTGTCGGAAGGCAAAAAAACAAACAAAATAGATGTAGAGAATAATGAACAACAGATAACGCACGAGGCCGTACCCATCCAGCCGTCGATCCCTCCGCCATGAGCGAGGCATTGCAAAGGTCTCTACCACGGCAATGCATCTGTAGGGAAAGGCGGGAAGGTAGTTGTGCTGACTGCGAGCTTTTTTGAACGAAAAACGTGCATCGGTTGCGGAGTCCAAGGGTTTGTAACAGGTATTTCGTCGACAGAGTATCTTGTTCGTTGATGCCATGCAACATGTTTTTATTCTAGTACCTACGGACTCACTCGTTGATTGCGACGAGGGCATTTCGCCACATCACCACTCACCACCCGGTTTTGTGGCAAGCAAGACGTTGGGGCCGCGACGCGTGCACTTCGAGAGAGTACAAGTCGACGGTGTTTCTGCGCACAGGGCGCGGAGAGATACAACAACCAGGAACAACAAACATACGCTGTGCGACGCTTCGAACCCAGGTGAGAGAGGAGGGTTGAACCAACGGCGAAATAATGTGTGTGCATACCATGGATCGCCCAAGCCTCGCCGTGATGGTTGGGAGGCACGTGTTGGACTGCTTTGAGCATGCAATATCCGACTCATGCGGGGAGCACATGCTGTCCCGGTCGTCGGAAAGTGTGCTCTCGTGGCAGCCTGAGGGAAGCGAGGGGCCAGTGAGGGCTTTTCACAACTAACTACACAGTTTCAAGGGCTCTCGAGCAGCCGCAGATACTTTTGAGGCTAGCACCTGCCGTGGAAGGGTGTGGGAACTGCACCTGCGAGCGATCAAAGATTGAAATTCCCCCTCTCTCCTTGTCTGTCTCTCTCTGGGGCATGCTGTTGCTTTCCGATTAAAAGTCTCGTCCAGCGTCTGTTGCGCGAGTTGTCGAGGGTCCAGCGAAAAGGGCAGCCGCGGCAAAAAGTTTTATCCTCCTTCCTCTGACGGTTGCTGCATTTCGGCCCACAGCTAACAACATAACTGTTTGTGTTCCCGCCAATGGACAAAAAATACAAGCAAGCGTTCCACGGATGACCCGTCCCAAACACGTAAGATACCAAAGGACTCTGAGTGCCTCAGCTCTGGCGCGTTGTGATGGGTAACATACTCAATCAAAATCGTCCGAAAAAAACCCTGGAGGTTCTCACGAAAAATGCCAAAAAAAATTCCCCGGTGTGCACAAAAAGAGGGCGGAGGACTGTTGCATATTCGACAAAACACTCACCCCCGGGGATACAACGACAGTCTTTGCCGAACTTCCGGGGGGGGGGGGGGGCCAA